TAGAATGGTGGCAGGAACACTGCAGGTGTTCATAAACTATGTGTCAACTGATTAAATCAATCAAAGGGGAAAGAGACGCAATCACAGTGAAAAAAGAGGCAGCATGAGCAAAAATCCAGCAGACACCCCTACTAGATAGGTGTTAATACCATTCTCATTTCAGAGGTGGTGAAATTGAGACCCAGAGAGGGTAAGTAAGTTTCCTGAGGACACAGTTATCACATTATCAGCCTCTGCAGAGAAGACTTGCTTGTAGCAAGACAAAAATGATTTACAGTGACAGTCACCGTGTTCACATATCGGGTTGGTGGATAATTTTTATTCTGGGTTGGTGAGGGTGGGATAAACAGCCTCATACATGCCCGAGAGTATCAACTGGCAAAACTCTTTTTTGAACAGCCATTTGACAAAATCTATTGACATTCAAAGAAAGTATTCTCTGATTCCATCAATTTTGCCTCTTGAAATAAATTCTAGAAAAGCACAAGCTTGCAAGAAGGAGGAAAACGCACATATCCTGATGTTTTTTTGCATATTGTTGTATTCATTGAAAACGAAACAACCAAAATATTTCTCAGTAATGAAAAGATTACGTTGATTTAGGCATGTTTATTTCATGGAACGGAATGCAGTAGTTTGAAATGCTAAGCATATGTATGCACACACGCACACAAACACACAAACACAGCTATACACATGCACACCAAAAGATTCTCAAGATAAATTTTTGAGAGGAAAAATAAGTTAAATTACAGAATAATACATATAGTGCCAGCATGTAACTGAGTTATTATTCACAAATGTCTGTACTCATATTTATGTAAATACATTGACTAAAATCAGGCAAACTATTCACCTTATTTAACCCATGGGTGTGTGGACAAAGAACACTTACTTATTGTTCTGAATTCTACATTATTTCATCTTTACTAGTGGGAATTTATGTATGCAATTATTTGTGTGTGCGTGTTTTAAATTTCATGAGGCAAATAAGCTAGTGCCCAGCTTTTAAAAGAAGGCTGAGACTATTTCCAAAGCAATTCACAAAAACAAAGCATGAATCTAGCTTCATGGATTATCAAGCCCATTGCTGGTGCCTGTGTGCTAATGCTGTAAATCTGAGGAGGATGTAGGTATTGGATTCTAATGCATCTTTTCCCCCAGAATTATGTTACCTCGTAAAATAATATTAATTGCCCTGTTCAGTGAGTTTGCGTTTGCCAAGTGTTCTCTTGCCATTGTGATAAGTGGCAGCTTCACCTCTGCAGAATTTGGCAGTCCAACTATGAAAAATATGAGTTCAAATAATGTTCTTGGTATCCATGGGCTCTGAGGGAAAACATATTTTCCCTTGAAAGCTGTGAGTTAGGGAAAATAATTTTCTTAAAGTGATTTTCATGGTCAGTTGTGTTGGCCTCAGTAAGAGAGAGAACTCTGTTTTATAACTGTTACCTGAGGAAGTAATAAGATGCAGTGGCAAGAATTGGACAAAGAGCTTGGGAAGCTGGGGTTTGGATCTGTTTTTATTACTCTTGCATTGTAACTTTTCGAGTTTTGCATATTAAAATTGTGTTGGTATCATTCTGTTTATTCAACAATATTCTTACAAAGAAATACTAAGGTGGTCAGCCCATCCCGGCGGCACAGTGGGTAGCAAACTGAACTGGAGTGCTGGAAGCCACGTGGCCGACAATGGTTCAGATCTCAGGATTGGCTTGAAAATACACGAGGCATATGCACATGTGACAAAGACCCTGTTGACCTGGAGTGTAAGGGAAAAGAGGATTGCGAAATGTCCAAGCCTTGCGAAGGATGCTTCTCTTTCTTTTTCTCTTTTGCATGTGCTATCATTAATAAAATTAATTTTTGTAAAAGGAATTTCTAAGGGAACATATATCAGTGTGTTTTAAACTATAAAATTCTATACAAGCTAAACATCAGTGTTACAATGAAGAATAAAGAAGAGGAGGAGGAAGAAAGGGTAGAATAGGGTAGGAGGGGAGGATCATGGCAGTTCATGGATTCCCCTAAACCTGACTAAAATACCCAAATTGGGTCTCCACTTCCAGGCATCCATTGTATAGGTAACTTTCCCACCTGCAACTGAAACATTTATAGTAGGAGTTGGGCAAGGATAACCCAGCAACTTAAACTAATTCTTTTTTAAAATTTTGACTATATAAAATGCTTTTTTTCCAGATGTGGTAGCGTTCACAGAGTTGACTAATCTGGGTAGAAATAAACACTGTCAACACTTCCATTAGCAAGTATAACACGAGGCTGCAGTTTCTAAAACAATACTAATTGGTGCGAAGTCGTTCAGATGGGCTTTCCTGGCAGCTGATGCCCGTCTGAGGAGTTTTTTCTTCACACGGTTGGAAAATACTCATTTGGGTTCCATGACTGTCACTGAGATACCTTGCTGGGCGTGTTCACAAATGTTATCTCATTTGTTTCTACCATAACCCTGGGAGGTTGATAGCAGTATTCTATTTCACAGATAAATTGATAAATCTCAAATAAGACCAAGTTGAATCTGATTTAACCCAGCTAGTGGCATAGTGAGACTACTTTTAGTTACTTCCCTCCCCTCAGCCCTCTCTTTTTTTATTATTTTTTTTAATATCCACAGGGTGCCCACACATGAAAAAGAAATAAATACACAGAGGGAGGCCTGGTAGGTGTTGTAGTGGTTAAGGCTCTGGACTCCCACATGGCCAACCGTTGTTGGAGTCCCAGACCTGATGGCCTTCTGTCTCACTTTCTTCCTTTCTCTGGTGAGCACATGTGCTCTATAGCAAATTGAAAATAAATAAATAAATAAATAATTTAAATGAGACAGTGAGGGAGGGAAACACACACACACACACACACACAAACACACCACTCTGATGGGGCTTAGTCATGCCGCAATGCCTTTTTCTCCATTTCTTTATCCCATCAGAATCCTAGGCAAACACATGGCCAGCATGATTTTTTTTTTTTTTTGGAGTGGTTTTCACTATAGGGCGCGTGTGCTCGCCAGACAGACAGAGAGAGACAGAGAGACAGAAGCGAGAAATCACCCCCCAAAGGGGATGGTCACGCCACAATCCCTTCTCCTCCATTCTCCTCTTGGGATCTTGGGCACGCACGCACACATGCCCGGCGTGAGTTTTAAGCCACCAGGTCCGGGATGCGAACCATGGTCGACTACATGGGAGTCCAGCTACATAGCCATTACGCTAACTGCTGATCCCTGGCCAGCATGTTTTTTCAAACCACTAGGTCCAGGATTCAAAGGGTGGTTAGGCCCTGTGAGACTGTACAGTGGGTAAGCTCCTTCTGTATAGTGCTTACACACTATACTCCGGGGCTGGCTCTTCATTCCTTTTCAAATTCCCGTTCCCTTCCTCTTCTCCTTTCGTGGCTGTTCACTTTTTCTTTCTCCTTCTCTCGCTCTCTCTCCGCCTCCCCAAGCTAAAAATCAACAAGAAAAAAAAGGAAGAGAATACAATAATAGTCTACAATTTTTTAAATAAAATTTTGTTCATATATTTGATAAATGGACTAAAGTACTTTTGAATCCATGCAACAGGTGTTGCTAAATATTTTGGCATTAGGGGTTAAATGGAAAGAAGACTTGCAAACTGCTTCCTATCAGATTTGCATAACCTGACATGAGGTTTAAGGTTGTCTGCAGAACAGTATTTATCTGCCTTCCCATTCCTGCCTTCACTCCGGAATGGAAAGCAGGCTTTCACCACATGGTCGGTCGTCAATACATAGGTGATAGGCTAAGCCTTCTCTCTTATCTGTCGTTACCTCTGGATGAGATGTGATCTTTGTGGTGATCTTGTCTTAATGACTGATAATATTGACATTTATCTGATAAGCATACAGCCAGTGTGAATTTTGTATCTGGAACATAGTTCCGGGCACCAAAAGAGCAAAAGGCAAATAAGTCAAAGCCCTTGGGGATTTCACTATTTAGTGCTAGAGAAAGATTTGAATAAATGCTTCTAACCCAGTAGAACAATTTACAAAATGGTATTATCTCATGTGAAAGG